TTATTTCAAAATTGAAGCTATCATATGACAAATATTCAGTGGACAAAGTTTGAACAAAAATCTATTGTCACTTTTATTTCAGAGGAATTACCTTAAGCGGACACCCCTGGGACCCTCACTAGTGTCTGCTTAATACAGTATGTCTGCTCTGAACAGGTTCAGCAATAATAGTTAATTATTAACCCTTTTGTAACAAAGTGTAAGATCAAAGACTGCTCATAGCACAATGTCCAGACAGTCAATGTATCAATCTGGAATAATCTAAATAGCTTTAAAACGACATCGCTAAACAATGTTAAAAGTGTCTGAGCTGAGCTTTTAGAAGTAAAAAGCCCTTGAAGTGTCCGCTCATTGCACATTTTGTGCAACAAACTGGCTTAATAGTGGTGTCTGCATCTGGTTAACACAGGTGTCCGCTGAATGCTGGTTTATTTTAAAGTAAATATGGAAGGAAAAGTTAGGGACTCAAGCTTGTGTCCACTTAATAGAGGATGTCCGCTTAATATGGGTTAATACAGATTTCACTGTAGTAAAATAAAATGACTGAAGGTCATATTCAAGGGAAATGGTAATAAGTCCGAAATAACAGGAAATTTGGAATAACCGAGTTTGAATTAATGTGGTCAAACTGTAATAATATTATTAATTAATGTGTAAGTTTAATAGAACTTGGTCAGTTGAGGTTTGCCCGACAGTATGAACCCATCACTATAGAGACCATGTGCATGACATCTGCAAGAAATTCTCTAACAAAAGTGAAACAAAACAAAACAAAATTAAACCTGTGATGGGGTTTTGAATATGTATTGAACAATGTTGAAAAACATGAGCCCTGCATCATGTCGTTGTTTGTACATTCTTACCTATTGTAAATAATGCTACATGTACATGTATTCTGCCAATTGCTTGATGCAGTTTATTAACCAGGACATGAATTACTTTATCAAAATTTTTGATTTAAAATTGGGAATCATAAAGATTTACAATAGGTGGGTATCTCACATCACCCTTTAAAATACATGTAAACTATATAATTATTAACCGATCAAGAACTGTCTCTCATGCATCCTGAAAGCAATAATCAAAATTAATATTGTTTAGTCAGTCACGCCAGATAATAAATTAAATATCACTGCTGTTTTCTATAACAGATCACACCATGAAAAAAATAATTCATATACAATAAAATTATCTTGGCCGATAATCCACAGGGGGGTCATGAGAAACAGTGATTAACAACATTATCAACTGATTCTGAAGTTGAACCTAAAGTATAGAAAATAATAATATTATTATAATATTATAAAATATAGATCTATAAATATTATAATTTAAATATTGTGTGTAGTTTAGTCTTATTGAATGAGGTCTTGTGCAATTGAGACAATTTAAAATAATTTATTTTAGATCATGAACTCAACTTATACAATTTGTTTCTATCTGAATAGGATGTGCTCATGACCACCTGATGTGAATCCTAACATGTTTCTGATCACAATGCCATATGAACTGTAAATATCACTTAGCACCTGACAATAAAGGTTTAATTTGCTAAAATTTTAAATAGAGGGACCCTGATCTCAGACTCTGAGTTGTCTCAAATAATTGTGCATATTTTGGAGTTAAGTTACTGGTGATTCCTTCAAGTCCAACCAACTTCAACAGCAGAAAAGGATCATTTCACAAGTTTGGCATATTTCGAGGTAAATGCCTTATGTGGTATCTAAGATGTTTACATTGCCAAGATCATCCTGTAATAAACATATTTCCAAATGCTTTTTCACATTTGAGTGTGACAAAAGATAGATCTTTAATGTTTCAAATAACAAGAGAGGTTTATCTGCCAATGCATGTTTTTCAAAATTGCAAAATCACACAGTAATAAGCTTAGATGTAGGACATTTTCCAAAACAATTCATGAGAACAAAATAAAAATTGAACTCGTCTAGATGACTGTAAATTTTTAAAACTTGCACCCAATTTCATTTGTTGACCTTACAGTATGCAAATGATTTCCATAAATCATGAGGTGTCCTGTTAAATTATTCTACTTACATTTAGAGGCAAAGAGAAATATTCTAATCAGTACAAAGATTAAAGAAAGTTAGTCTATCTAATTGTACACTTTGTAATGGTACACTGAGTACCTGAAATTCTCTGTAACTGGTTTAAAATATTGTTGACTATCTAAACAAGCTCTTTAACATTTATTTGAACTTTCTTTGAAAGTGTTCAAGTTGAATTTTGCAATAATGAGCAACGTGAAATTGAGGCATTTATGACAAAAAAATCATTAACTTAGGAAAAAGATGAAAAAATGCTATAATTTATTAAGTTTTATTGGTAAATGGCAGGGCCCAAATAGACACTGGCTTTCAATACATGCCATATCTAACTGGCCCTATTGAAAAATAAATGCCCCCAGCATTTAAATCGAGGAAATATGGTAGATCAAAGGAGTTGACAAAACTTTTCATCTCTGTAAGTTTGTTTGCATGGTTTGAAAAGGACCACTTACTACGATTATCAGTTGAATAAGGCATGAGGGAAGTTTGGTTACGAAGTTTTGGCCTCAAAATTATGGTGTTGTCACGGGCAACCTAACTCGTTTCCATTGGTAATAATATCAACAGCTGTTGGTCACCTGTCACGTCGCCTACAATTTCGTGCGCTTTGCTGCCAATTGACGTCAAAGGCCAACAAGTTGCCAACGGATACGGAGCCAGTTGCTCATGACAACAACGCGATTTTTGCGTTAAAACTTGGTGACCAAACTTTCGTCCCGCTTTACTCAACTGATAATCGTAGTAAATTGACAACAATATTGCTCAGTGGATCAACATAGTATTTTAAGTATTAATTACATGTAGTTTAAGAATCTTCTTCGTGATGTTGCTAGACTACAAGCTACCTTCAAAGATGGCATGGAATAAATTGAACAATTCACATGGAAATAAGCAAGACGGTGGTTATTATTCAATTTCCCTAGAATCTTTTCATTTTTTGTATAAACTTAAAATAAACAAAAAAACTGTACACCCACAAAGTGTAGAAATTGATTTAATGTTCTAGATGTTTAGCATAAATCTAAGACTCATAATACAAAATCAAATTATTTAAATTAGGATTGGGGCAAATGTAATATATTCGAAATCGAAACAATACCATGTAAGTCACGATCGATCGATGAAGAGCTCAAGGCCAGTGTACCATATAATTGTTTACAAAGCTTCGTTAAAATTTAGCAATGCATGTCAGATGTGAGGGAGATGAATGTACTGTACAGGATTTCAGTTAAATATTGTCGTGCCTTCAGGAGTCCTCAGACAGATCGAGCGGTCAAAAACAACTCTGACCGCCGGGGCGGTTTGGAATAAAAACACACGGTTCAGTGGTCTGAACAACATATTCTCTTTTCAATGACAAACTTTCTGCACGGAAAATTACAGAAAGATCATCATCCTTTATTTCAGGCGGATGTCCTAATAACGTACGGTTCGTATTTCTAAGTGGCCAGCACTTGTGTTCAAATGAAGCTGCGATATCTGGCGCAATCGATCCGATTATGTGTTAAGCTTCAAAAGCTTTGTCAACAGAATTGTAACAGAGGGTCATGCCAAAAACCTCGCAATGAAACCAATTCTCTGAGAAAAGAAAAATAAAACTTATCAACTTTATGTCTGAAATTCCTGAAAATTCTTACCTTGAAGAACACTGCCGTCAAAAAATAACGCAATATGGTGAAAGCGACCCCGAGAACAAGGCAAATGAGAACGTCCTTGGTCGATATAAAGCCATAGCTGGAAACCTCGTGAATGAAATCCGTCAGAAATGTTTTTGTTGGACCTCTTTCGTTCCATTCAATCCAAGCGTGATTCCATATTTTGCTGAAAGCCTCCAAGTATCCAACCTCCATCGTGGAACCGCCTTTCTGTAAACAGTCACAATAGGAAATGAAAAGGTTACGGGAGGGGAGACACAGCACTATAACCAGTCATTCTGCCTCTGTGTCAAAACGAGTCTTTGTGCAAAACAAGTAAAAGCATTCAAATGAATATTTGTTTTACCTGCTTGTAGTTTCTTTTTTCATGCAAATCAAACTCAGCTCAGTCATTTTCACATGAAACGTCTGCACGTGGACTCGTTCTGAAAAAGAGGCAAACCGGAAACCTTAGGGTCAATGGTGAGATGGGAAGATAAGGGGGCGGAGATGGGGGTTGGCGCACTATATAATTTCTATCATAAAAAAAACCTAGCTAGAAGTATATGTACCAAAATAAAGAGAAAATATAGAGATTTATGCCATTAAAAATAGTATACCCACCTCGGTATTTAAAATAACCACGTATCAGCGATTAATTAGGCTATTGACGATTGCGTTACAATCTTAACCGTTTATAAGAAAATGTATATGAGGATGCTTCGAACATAATTGTTGGAAATGCTACGTGTATAAAATAATTTAAATAAAAGTAGCATACCTCACGTTTGTTTTGCGTTATTTTGATGTCTCTCCGATGTCTTTGTGTTCCTGGAGGCGGTTTAGAGCTATTTAGGCGAGTTTTACTTTCTGGCGGTTTACTTCCCCTAACTATATTGCGTATCAGTGATAATGGTGATAATTAATAGTGTGCATGAGCTTGCATAGCGCATGGGTATTATTGCCCAGTAACTTATCCGGCCCTCGTCCCCAGGGTCTCTCATCTTGGTTGTTTCGTGCGTTGAAACATGATTTTCTTCACAGGTTACCCAAGCTCCAGCTATGCTATGAATCAAAAAGAAGAGTTTGCATTGTTTGGGAATATTTACGACCGCTCTTAGAAATTAAAATAACTGAAGGTTCTCAATAAAGATACCTCTCTCTATTTCCAAAGTGCAACGTTTGTTGTCTTACTGCTTACATATACTTTGGTGAAAAGAGAACATTGTTTTTGTAACCCAGGCCAAATAGATCACACGCTAAAATGGCCTCGTTTCAGCAAAGTAAGCAGTCAGACAACAAGCGATACACTATGAAAGTAAGGTAAGGTATTTTCAATGAAAACTTAACACTATATTTTTACTTCCTAAGAACGGTCGTAAAACCCCACGCCATCTCATAGCTAGTGCCTGGGGAACCTGTGGTTTCAGAACGTATACGACGTCACGTGACCTAACACAAACTTTTCCGGCCAGACAGCTAAATAGGTCACTTTTCGGACGGAACGGACCTACACTGTACGGCGACTCTTGGCAGGACTAGACGTAGTATCATTTGTGCTGCAGGGTGTTTCAACAGAGAGATGCTGTTACGGAGATATTCTCATGGCCTTTACAGATTCGGTGCCAGGGGCTTCAGCACTTCGATTCGAAGGCAGACCAAGCACTATCAATTCGTTGTGGCTGGTGGTGGTTCTGGGGGACTGTCGATTGGATCCACTCTCTGCCGGAAATTTCCTAAATCTACGGCCATTATTGAACCATCTGAGGTAAACTAGTCGACCCGCGTTTGTTGTAGAAATCTGGATCTTAGCATTTTAGTTTTGAGTTGAAATTTCCTTTCATGTATTCTTAATTTTGAAGGGGTAAAATTAAGTATATTGTTCGATTACTTTTCAGACTTACCCCCTGCTAGATACGTGCGAAAGTTCATGCTACTTGTAGGTTTACCCAATTGAAAGCTTATTGATCATGCTTCTGTTGACCAGTACACGTGTGATTCGAATTTAGCTTTAATCTTTAATCTTTAATAAGTATAATCCTTAAACAGTGGAACTATACTAGGAGTTTAAAATAACATAATAAAAGCACGTAATAAATAATTACAATATGTATATATACAGTAAAAATTATAAGTTAGTAAAAGATAAGATAAAATAGATTAAGTATAATCTCGTCGAGACAAGTTAGGACGTCTGGATATACACTATACAAAAGATTTAATG